AACCGCGTGTTTAAAGGCTTGAGGAACTTCAGCCAATGTCAAGCTACAATTTATAATGCCTACCACGCTATTGCTAATTAAAGGAAACACCTCTTTCAGGAGGCGAGGTGGGATAACATCATCTGGGGAGCCAGAGGGTTTCATGGCTGCAACAGTTTTTTCTAGATAGGGCAAAGAGATGGGCTGAAAGCTTTGAAGTTGCACACGAGAGTGGATAAATGAATCAGGAACATGGTTGGATTGGTGAATCTGAGCTCTGATTACAGTAATCTTATTTAAGAAAAACTGCAGAATTTGGCTACACAAGTCAGCGGACACAGAGGCAAATAGTTTTTGAACTGGGGAAAGCACTGCATTTATGGTTTTATATAAAACACCTTGATTATTGGAATTAGCCGTGACAATGCTGGCAAAAAATCGATTTCTCGCGCCTCTGGCTGCTCTTTGGTACTGAGACCAAGCCTCTCTCATGGCCTCAAAGGATACAGTAAGCCTATCTTTTATCCATTTACGTTCCAGTCTCCAGCAATTTTGTCTCAAGGAACGAGTTTGTTCGTTTAGCCATGGGTCTGGCATGGATTTCTTTCGACTTGATTTTAATGGAGCGACAATGTCCATAGCAGCCAGGCAGGATGAATCAAGCACACAAAGTGATCCCTCAACTACAGAAGATGCATCAGTAGAATCATATGGAGCTGAATTCAGAGTAAGAACAGCGGCAAAATCTGCAGTAGTATTGGGTCTGATTATACGAGAGAAACTGGGATGGAAATATTCAATACGAGGGGCATAGTCCAATTTCAAATTAAATAAAACTGGTGAGTGATCTGAAAAAGTCGCAGGTAAAATGCCAAGATCACTAATTTCCAGCTCATGACAGAAAACCAGGTCAAGTGTGTGTTTAAGCCCATGTGTGGGCCCATTAACACGTTGAGACAAACTAAAAGAGTCAATGAGATCTAGGAAATCCCTTACCAAAGGTTTTTCAGGACAGCAGACATGAATATTAAAATCACCAAGCAGGAGTATTTTTCCATATCTACAGGAGACTTCAGCCACAAACCTGCAAATTCATTTAGAAAATCCTTATTGTATTGTGGTGTAAATGAGAGCACATAACAGTGTAGGGGAATGACCCAATTCAAACACACTTAATTCAAAGGACAGTGGAGTTGATTGAGGGGTAATCGGTGTGCAGATAAGATCTGATTTAAATATAGTCAATAGACCTCCGCCCCTGCAGTGTGCTCTTGGAATGTTAATGAAGAGCATCCAGGAGGTAACAATTCCACTATTGCTGCTGAATCCCCATGGGTAATCCATGATTCAGTGGCACATAAAACATCCAGGCTATTGTTCTGGAAGAATTCCTTCAGAATGAAAGATTTATTTGCAGCCGATCTGGCATTGATCAGTGCAAAGTGAGCCGACTGAGTATCCGATTGTAGAGAAAGTCCGGTTCCATCAGATCTTGCAACATAACGCAGGTTGGCGGGATTTCTACCCCACTGAATGAGCCGGCCAGAACGAGAGCAGCCGAAATGTGAGTGGGCACTCGGCTGGTGAAACATCCTCATATCACACACACTCATGAAGCTCTCCGCTCCGAGAGCTCCCAGCCGGCATGACATCCTCATTTCAGACGCATCCATGGAACATTCAGCTCCGTGTGCTCCCGGTAGTAGCGAGATCAGCCCAGCACGGTTGAGATGACGCTGGATCCGCCACATCACAGTCGCGGAGCAGCAATCAGATATGGCTTCGCCGCACCGGATCCTTCGGAGCTGAACGTAGAAGCCGCCTCGTTTCCCCCGTTTCTTTTTCCACGGTCTCCGAGGCAGCGGTAAACCAACAGGCAACACAAGCCAGAAAGCTTGGTTAGCGTCAGTCTCCAGCGGCGGTGGAAAAGGGTGTCCGTTATTAGAGTACTGGAGGTTGTCCATTCTAGACCGGACCGAGAGCAGGAAGTCCCGATCATACGCCAGCCGAAAATCAGCTCTATATATGGAACAAACCATAAAATAGAAAAGAAAAACAAAAAAGGTTGGGAGCCGAACAGACACGCAGCCGACCAAGGGCGCCATCTTGCAGTTCTTGGTGAATTCCGGCTCGCAGAAAAGCTTTATGTCCCCAACCGCAGCTGACAGACTGGCTGAAAGCTGCAGACCATTGTTGACTGCAGCTAATGGATCCCAAAACTTTTAGTGATAGTATGCTTCCATGAATATGACTTTGATTGAAATCTTATTGTGATTGCAAGTTCATTTCCTATCTTAGTTGCTGATTTTCTGTATGCACAGACTTCTAGTTGACTTAATCAACAGGTGGTTGATTGATGCTGTGTCTTTTGTATCCATACCTTGTATGACAAGGGGGTTAGGGTAGAAGGCGGCCACCATCTGCCATTCAGTCAGACCACGTTTCAACCCAAAGTGATGTGTCTTTGCCATTGCAGCGCCAAGCTAACCTTCCCAACCCCACACTACCCAGGTCTAGCCGCTCAGGCCGCTTGATCAGGGCCAGGAACTTAGATGTGTAACAGGCCATCTGGCTGTTCGGGGGGTGGGGGGGTGGGTCGTTTATGGGGGGCCACAAAGAGGCTACACTCACACTCAGGTGTGACTGTTTGTATGTAAATGTTGTTGACTCCTTACTGCTTCCTGCATCAAGCAGGCTTAAGCTTGGTTTATGCTTGACGCGTCCGCGAGGTTCGCACGGCTCCGCACGGCGAAATTGTGTCATTTTAACAACCACGCCCATCCACCGCGCCTCCGCACGGCCCAAAATTTCCGCACCTAGGAAATTTTCTAATCACGCGGACGGTCGGACGCGGAAAAACATGGCGGACTGGCAAGAACTAGTATGGCAGAGGTTCGTAAATACAGACATTTGTATGATTCAGTTCTCAGAGATCACCATGATCAACATGTTGTTAATAATTCTTGGAGAGAAATAGCTCGCACTGTCGGAAAAGACGAGGACGCTGTTAAAAAATGCTGGAATGCCATGTTGTAAACAACAGTAATTTTTACCTCTACTATGGTGTAGTGTTGGATGCATGCCGTAGAGCTCCATGCTGCCCCGTTCAGTTGGGAGAATATTGGCTCACCGCAGAGACAAGCCGCATGAACCATAAACGCTGCGAGTTGTGAATCGCATTTTATCCGCAAGCCGCATCACCAAGCGGAAAGTAATGCGTCAAGCATAAACCAAGCTTTATAGAGCACTGGGAGAAACCTTGCCCTTAGTTTTTCTTCTCGCAAAACTGGCAGAAATCACCAGAAGACATGGTAATTGGCACGTGAGTGAATGAATGAACCTTGAGCGAGTTGTTGTTTTCCAGGCGCACATGGTATATGTCATTTGAGTTGTTACTGTGATTGGCTAAAGACAAAATATGGTAGCCAGTGCCAGCCAGGCACGACCTTGCACATCCTCCAATCCACTCAAAATATTCTACCAGATAGCCCTTCCTCTTTCAGATGGTTTCTGCTGCAGAGATTCCAGATCGAAATGTGTAGACTCGTTAGGGCGGGGCTACACATAGAGATGTGGCTGCGGTTACCAAAAACCTTCATCATCTGAGGTTTTAATACACATGCCATTCATGCCATTGAAAGGAATTCTGTCTCTGGCCAATATCTTTAATAACATCTAAGAACATATTTCATCACAGTTTATTCATTGTCTTAGTTGATATTACCTTAAATCATGATTTATAATAAATATACAGCATCATCATTAGTAGTAGAAATATAGTAATAAATAGATTTTTATAAACTATATTTTTGCCTCTGTGTCAAAGTATTATTAAGTGTTGGTTCCCCGGCATACCCAAAGTACCTACTTATATCATCAATTGAATATTAAAGGTTCAATTTTGACAATCCATATTTTTATGGAGTATTACATTTTATTTAACACCTTTATATTTTATTGACATTTATTAAAATAAACCGCTTACAAAATGCTACAGTTGGTTTCTAGCCTGGCAAGCCAGACTAAATAATACATTACAATGCTCCATTGACGGCTCTCGGTTGTGGGGCGGGATCTACCGTTGTCTTTCAAATGATCTCCGCATGCTGCTGGACAATGAATGTGACATACTCACCGCAACAGCTATCGGTAAATGAGGCGGTCCGCAGTTGAAGGAGAAAACACATAATTTTTTCTAAAAAAAAAAGCACTTAAATACATCTATCTGCTCCTGATTCTAATGAAGCCCAAGTTCTAATAGTCCAAAATTGATGTAAAAGCCGTTTCAAACGAGCTGTCGCCATCTTGTTTCACTCTCTTGCATCATCCCACCCACCAGGCATATAGAGTGCCCTGATTGGCCCACAAAGCGGATAAAGCTCTGTGATTTGTTCACTAAGCAGATAGAGCACCATGACTGGCCCACCATTATGGACCAATCACAGCTCTTTGTGTTTGGAACCCCTCTAGAGAGCTGTGATTGGCCAGCCAGAATGCTGTTAGGGGCTGCAGAGGTTCCAGTGGAGCGTTCCTAGACCAAACTTTGCAAAGCAAGAATTTGGTCTAGTTCACTAGGCTAGTTGGTTTCATTTTAATGATAAAAATCCCACAGAGCTCCATCCTGACCCGGAGCTGTATCTGGGCTTTGACCAGGCCCCACCACAGAAAAGAAGGCTCAAACAGAATGTCGTGAGTCAGACAGCTTCCAGCAAAATAAACGAAAATTGAGATTCTGTTCCTGGCATGTGAAACTGTAGATGTTGTCAGTCCCCGCTTCACACACTAGATCTTGTTTTCTCCTTGGGACTAAAATTCAGTCATGTTGAAGAGGTTCATGTGAGTGACCATAGCTGCATATTCTTTAATGCCCAATCTATCGCTGTTCCTCTCCCTGATAAACTAGTGTGGCGAGCGGGGCCACTTATCAATTTAGCAATACAGCGCCACCTGATTATCAGGAACCAAAACCACTGAACTTAAGGCACATTAGTTCATTTTAACAAATCAAGCTTGAGACGGAGTTCCATTCCACACAAACAGAGATTTTATTCAAAGAATAAAATGAGTTTAAAATAATCTAAAACACACCATGCACCTGCAGATAAACACAGATTAACCAAATCAACTTAGGCTGAGGCTGACTAATGGGGCTGCCTAAGAGAGCCCGGAACTAAATACCAACCACAAGTAATTTCACCCCAATCACACGTGCATGCATTCGGGGGGGTGAAGTGACTCTGGAGCACACGCACACCATCAGAGGGAACCACCACCAGGGCTCGACCACCACTGTCAGCTCACAGCCTAAATGAAAAGAAAACAGAAAGCACAGTAAAAATCCAATCCACACACACACACACACACTAAAACACAGCCACGACTGAGCAGGCAGGCCGTCAGGGAATGAGCGAGCATACGGCTCGCCTGCACACGAGTCTATTAGCCTGCGCCTCAGCCGTCCTTATGAGCTCCCGGGCAGACGACAACTGCCGGTAGGGCCCGCAGCCCCTCGTTGAAATATCCAAACCCACAGCGGGTGTACGCCCTCCGCTGGTATTTAGTACAGAGGAGCGAGTGACAAAAGCTGCTCCCGATGGTCTCCGCTGATCCCGTCAACCAGTCCGAGCAGCGGGGTGGAGAGGCCTTGGAACCGGATGATGGTCCAGCACCGGGTCAACAACCGGTAAACAGAGATCTCATGAAAGTGTGCAGAAAAGCAGCAGAACAGCAGAACAACAGAGTCTCCTGTGGAGACACACCCCTTCCTGGATCTGGAAGACACATTAATTAGTATTATCCTAAAGCCACAGCTAAGTGGAGAGGAGCGCAGATGTACATACCACTTCTTTGAAGCACATAGGATAAAAGAAGCCTTCCGTTACTCTGGGAGGACCACATACAACAATTCCTGTGGCAGGAGCAACCAATAAACACCAGACTCCATGCAGCTACTGCAGCGTTTTTAAATAGTACTCACAGTCCGACACGACGGAGTCCCGTACACAACGGCTTTTCACACAGGAAGCGGAAGTTAAGCCAAAGTAAAAGATCGCTGTAGCGCCACCTCAGGCCCTATTTATATGAGCGCCTTCCCTCAATGATAGGTCGTCCAATTACTTGGTGGCAGGTGACTCATCCCACTACACTAAATTCAAAGAGACATATCATTAATCAGTCAGAAGTGGATGGGTTTCTTGTCAGCAGATAAGTTCAGGGTGATCATTCAACCTTGTTTATCCAATTCAATTCAAATTCAATTCAAGTTTATTTATATAGCGCCAAATAAGGACAAGAGTAATCTCAAGGCATTTCACATAATAAACATTCCAATACAGGTCAGTTCATTAAGTCAATCAGAAAAAAAGTTTCCTGTATAAGGAACCCAGCAAATTGCATCAAGTCACTGACTGGTGTCAGCAATCCTCATACTAAGCAACCATTTAGTGACAGTGGAGAGGAAAACTCCCTTTTAACAGGAAGAAACCTCCAGATGATCCTGGCTCAGTATAAGCAGCCATCTGCCACAACTCCAATCCAATGTTTGACAAAGCAATTCTGCAGTATCTTAGATCAAGTGGCTCTTGTTTAGCAGAGGAAAAGTCCTAGGATTAATCAAAACATTTAAAGTCTCAGGACATGCCACAGAGCCGAAAGCCATTGGGAGTTCACTAAATTAAAAAGTCACAGGCTGCACTTTAAAGAACTGATGACATCTTTAAAGGAGACGGTGAAAACTTCCAGGGCCACTTACTTTGCTTAAATGATTGCCGTAAACAAAAATAACTCTAAAGTTATTGGTTGGGGCCAGTGGGGGAACTGGCTCCCTGGAGGGCTAAGCCCAACCAGCCACTCCTCCCCATCCCCGCATATTTTCCTCCTCCTGCTCCCTCACATCATCACACAAACATACACATAGGACCTTGGGGGGGTGCACAAGTCAGGGAGTGCGGGTATGGACTCCATTTCCGCATTCCTGTGGCAACCTGCCCCCCAATTTTATTTGCACCTTATACACTTCCACCGAAGACATTCCACGCAAATACACACTTAGGGCCTTGGGAGTGAGCACATTCAATGGCATTTGGCACGGGGATTTCTCAGCCTCCTCCCGAGTGCTGGTGCCCACTTCCAATTTTAAACTGCACTTAAGACACCGAGGGCTGTGGTTGCAAGTGGGGTGGTGCGGTGGCATCAGCTGGGCGGTGGCCTTTCTGGTTGCAGTCTCCTTGGGGTTCCTGTGTTCTGGGGCAGCGCCTGAATCTCTGGGACTTGGAGCTCCCCCCCGTCTCCTACGCACCTTTGGGGGGCAGATCTGTGGTCCCTCACACTCTCTATTGGACGCTCCTCACACTCTCTATTGGACGCTCCTATAGAGAAACCTTACACAAACAAGCGCGTGTACACACACAGGTGCTCATATGGTGCTCTCAAAAGTATGGACTTGGGGACGTTCAACACAGGTCTTAAGGATGTCGTTGCCACTAAATGCACTATGATTTATTATCGTGTGATTGCTCAGTTAAACAATGTTGATTTTATATTTCATCATCAGGCTGACGCAGTGATAGCTTGCTCCTGATGTATTGTTGTGTGTCCCATTTTTTTCTCTTCCTGCAGGTCTAGAAGCAGACTCTTGTTAATTATTGTTTATTTTTGTGGAAACCCCCCCCCCTCTCCCCACCTTTTGTCTTTTCCTTTCTCTTTCACCTCTGACTCCGTGTCTTGTCGGAATTGCAAAGCATTAAAAAACAACAATAAAGTTTTAAGTATCAGGCGTGACATTAAAAGCAGACGCTTTGATGCTCCACCTGAGAGTAAATCTGTAAGGCTTGTTACCAGCATTCAGACATCAATTCTGTTTGCTTCACAGCCAGACAGGACATGGTAAAAAAAAAAAAACTCTAAAGTCCTGTTTGACACCATAAACCGGATTCTTTCATCACACGCCCCTCTTATGCCAGTTTACTCAAGGTCTGACTGTAACAACTTTCTAGCATTCTTTGAGAATAAAATCAGAAATATCAGGGCAAGTTTTTCGCCCCCATCTCCTTCTTCCTCCTCATCCAACCACCTTCCTCCCAATCATGGTCCTTCTTTTCTCCTGGAAATTTCCTGGACAGTTGCTTCATTCAGAAACTCATGAAACCAACCTCATGCTCTGTTGATAATATTCCTACGACCTTGTTTATCAGGATGTTTGACCAAATTGGCCCAGGCATTGTAGATTTTAATATATCTCTACAATCTCAATCTGTACCATCTGTTTTCAACAGTACAGTTGTTGGACCTATCCTGAAAAAAAGCCTTATGCTCCAATCCGGGCCCTCAGGTCCACACACCAGAACCTTCTAGAAGTTCCAAAGACCAGATATGAAAGTCGAGGTGATCGCTCCTTCCAGACTGTTGCACCCTGACTCTGGAATGATCTTCCTTTATCCTTATGTAGCATTGACAGTCTGGACATTTTTAAAAGCAGCTAAAGACCCTTTTATTGAAAGCTGTTTTTACCTAAATCTTTTGTTTTCTTACTCAAATTTGTAATCATCTTTCATTTGTTTTATATTGTATACTTTTTCTGATGTTAATCTATTTCTGTTTTATGATCATTATGATTTTAATACTTAGTTTCTGTTACTAATGACACAGAACGAATTATGACTGATGGTTGAAACAAGATACCGTAACTGAGAAAAGGAATGAAATGATGGAATGTAAGCTTAGATGTTATGTAGCAAAACCTATTAAGTGTCTTAGAAAATTGTGATGTCTGGGTTGTAAAATCAGTCTGACTGTATGGTTTAACGACAAACTCTCGTGAAGGTCCCCGTGCGACTCAGGCAGTTGACGAAATCAGTCCAGAGAGATGGCTGGTGGAGTTGGACTTCTGATGGTAGGCCAGGAAGCAGAGTTGTAGTTTAACACACCCCTCTGCAGCTTCTGTACTGTTACCCACCCACTACCCCACTGAGACAGTGTCCTGCCCACGGCCAAAACCACACTGATTAAATATCAGGCTTAATAAAGCAAATCGTAGAAATCTCAAATATTAGAACAAATTCAACTGACCAAATACTTATTTTCCACCCTGATTTACAAATAAATTCTTTAAAAATCCTGCCATGTGAATTCATGGATTTTTTTTCACATTCTGTCTCTCACAGTTGAAGTGTACCTATGATGAAAATTACTGACCTCTGTCATCATTTTAAGTGGGAGAACTTGCACAATCGGTGGCTGACTAAATACTTTTTTGCCCCACTGTACATGTGCTTTTGGTACATTACATATATAATTATTGTCCAGCCTTTACTTAAGATTACCACACGTTCACTTTTCAACAATCAAATGAACACATAGAAATTAACAATAATATTAATATTATCTTAAACATCTCTGCTTCCAATTGCAAAAAAGGAATGTTTAAGGAACAGGAGGATTAGTAAAATGGTCGAAGTATGAGGCTGTAATTTCCTGAGGATAATTGCTACACACACTGATCTGAGCAACGCTGTCTCCAGACTGAACTCAGAATCTGTAAATCATTAAGTTCTGAATCAGATCAATCGTAATGGGATCAACAACGCTGATGAAGATCTTTGGTTCAGATGTCAGCGTGGTGAGGCGAGTGAGGCTCCTGGATGTTCTGGCTCCAGTGTTCTCCTACGTACAGACCATAGTGCAGCATGTCCTTCTGGGCTGCTGCCCATGCCATCTGCAGGCTGGAGAAGCGAGCGGCCCAGTTGCCCTGAGGGTCCACTGTCACAACCCCTCCAAGCCCATCCACTCTGGACTTCATGTAGGCCAGGCCCATGTCACTGGCGGCTTCCACAGAGTGACCTGAGGGGGCAGAGAAGAGGCAGCCGTGAGGGACAGATTATCTGAACCCCCCACAAACACACACACTACACACAGAGACACACACCTAAACATACATCATAGTGAGGACCCTCCATTGACTTCCATTCAAATTTGTGACTCTACTATGCCTGACCCATACCTCAACCCTAACCAGTGCTGATCTATCCCTAACCCTGACCTCAACAAAAGCTTAATTCATACCAGACCTCTAAAACCAACTGGTAAGCTTTTAAAAAAAAGTAAGAACCACAAAAATGTCCTCACTTAAAAAAAATGACCTCACTGTTGGTTAAAACCTCATGATGGTTCTCAGTAGGTAATAAGTGCAAGAACACACACACACACAATTATAGCGGCTAGCCGCTAGCATTAGACATTAGCTTGCTCCGTCTTTAAGCCATGAGGAAACCTCTGGGTCAATGTTCTGCTCTAAACTTAGCATTCGGCTTACTGGCTTTTATAATTTTGGGACGTTCGTGTGTGTTTTAAGTGAGCCTTTTCATCGTGGCTGCCAACTGGCGCTTTGTTTCCCCCGCGTAGTCAGGACACATCTGCATAGAGCAGTGAGGCACAAAATGCGGGAATGTAACCCTAACTGGAGGATGCCTGACATAAGGATGCATCATGTTCAGCTTAACATAATACATTTTTTTCTCTGGACAAGTAATAATTACTGCTAATAATGTGGATGATAGGATATGAGCCGCCTCTAGATGGAATTTAAATTATTTTACATAAATTATAAATATATAATTAAATAAAAGTGCCTGTGAGAAATCTGAGACATGCAACTCTTGCTCTTAGATGGATGGATAGATATATATTGGAATTAATAATAATAATAATAATAATAATAATAATAATAATAATAATAATGCATTGAACTTATATAGCGCTTTTCAAGACACCCAAAGACGCTTTCACACACTCACATTCACACACTGCTAGTGATGGTAAGCTACTTGTAGCCACAGCCGCCCTGGGGAGGTCTGACAGAGGCGAGGCTGCCATTTGGCGCCGTCGGCCCCTCTGACCACCACTAACACAGGCAAGTTGGGTGAAGTGTCTTGCCCAATGACACAACAGCAGGATAACCCTGGCGGGAGCTGGAATCGAGCCCATGACCCTCCGATCATGAGGCAGCCCGCTCTACCACCTGAGCTACTGCTGCCCCAATTGTAACATTTTTTAGAATTCTGAAATATTTTATCCTATTTTCTGTGAAAAGTTATGCTTTTATGGTCAGAATTTTCAAAATAATAAAAAATCGTGATAAAACTGATCATGATTTTGCTAAAACAAACCGTGATTTGATTTTCTTTCCATATCGCCCACCCCTATCTGTAGCGCAACAATAATGAGGAAATCAGTCCTAAGAACAGCAGTTCCACTGTATTTAGACCCCAACTGAACGATTTAGATGTAAAAAGGAAGAATTAAAAATAATGATATGTCTCCTTAAAGTGTGGTTTATCTAGTAAACATCGGTGTGATCTTTTAGCTTCTTGCCCTTTGGCGACCTGAGCGCCACTTCTGCATTCCAGCCAGGCTGGGATGTGGCTCGGTTACACCGTCCATGTTTCCTAAGGTCTGTTAATCATCATTCTTGTTGTTTCTCATCTTTTTTTCTTTTCATGAGTGGTTTTTATAAACACCGAGGACCTAATCCTACCAAACTGCGTTCACTAACTCCAGCTGTTTCTGCAGTTTCTGATTCCTCCACCTCACTCAGCATGGCTCTATTAAACACCTGTTCCATTAACAATAAAACCTTCTGGCTCAAAGAGCTAATTCTCTCTAAAAACCTGGATTTTGTATTTCTGACTGAAGTTTGGCAACAAACATCTGATAATTCTGGTCTAATTGAACTCTGCCCGAGTGGTTATTCCTTCCTTAGTCAGCCCTGGGGTTCTGGTCGTGGTGGAGGCCTAGCTGTTGTTTTTAGAGACCATCTTCCATGTAGCTCTATGACCTCTGGTCGCTTTGCTTCCTTTGAACTGCAGCTTATTAAAGTTGGGCGTAAGGACCGTTTTACTGTTCTGTGGTTTATCATCCATCTGGTCCAAACAGTTCTTTCCTTCAGGAGTTTAGTGACTTTTTATTCTCCACAGTGAAGCTGTTCAGACTGGTGATTGTTGGTGATTTTAATATTCACATCGATGATGCCTCAGACTACGCCCACTTTGCCACGAGCTTCTCCAGCCTCATGGACTCCTTCAGCGTTACCCAGCATGTTTCTGGCCCCACACATACTAGTGGGCACAATCTGGACCTTGTTTTTACCCTGAGTCTAAATGCTGACAGTGTTTGTCCCAAGGACATTTATATTTCTGATCACCATTGCATTTTCTTTAACCCTCCCACTGTCCTAATCTAGCTGCAGCATTTTGGACAAGCATAAGACTTTTTAAACTACATTCTGTGGACTTCCTGAGAGTAATGAATTACAGTAATCCAGTTTTGATGTAATAAATGCATGAACTAGTTTTTCAGCATCACTCCTGGAAAAGATGCTTCTAATCTTAGCAATATTCCGAAGGTGGAAAAAAGGAAATCCTACAAACCTGGTTAACTTGGGATTTGAATGACATGTCCTGGTCAAAGATAACACCAAGGTTCCTTACTTTGTTCTCAGAGATGAATGTAAAGCCATTCAGGTCAGGTGATTGAATAAGCAATTTTATTTTCTGAATATCTGGTCCAAAGATGAGAACTTCCGTCTTGTCTTGCTTTAAAAGCAAAAAGTTTAGAGTCATCCAATTTTTTATGGGGCCTTCCAGCATCTCTCTGTGCAGGTGTTCGGGAATGGAGGGCAGGGCCTTGAGTCACAAGACCCGCTGGACAAGGGTCTGCCAGAAAGCAATGCGAGCAGAACCGGTGAGTATAGCAGCGCACAGATTGAGAATGGCATCAGCAGTTTTGGTAATGATGGTTTTCGACTCGTCAGGAGCGTCGAGCTCTTCTACCATTTTGGAGAGGCCAAAGGCAAGAAGGGAGATGTTATTTCCTGCAGTGCCGGTCTGGAAGGCGCACTGGTGTGCGCGATCGGTGAGCCGCGCCAGCAGATGGTCATGCTTAAAAGCGGGAACTGCTCGCGGGCCAGCGAGGTGGTTCTTGGCGCCAAACAGCGAGTCCAGGTCCAGCTCCAGTGGAGGAACGGTTGGGCAGCCCTGGTCGGAGAAGCCCTCGACTTTGGTAATGGGCGCATATGTGGAAATTGGTGCTTTGAGCTTAGCAGGCTCGGAGAAGGCGGCGGACCAGCAGCTCAAGGCAGCGGGGAAGTGCGGCCAGATGTGTTGCCCCGACAATTCCCACCAAATCATCTGCTTCAGGCGGAGCCGGTTCTGGCACGGCTAGCCTCTTGTGGACCGCAGCCGCGGAGATGATGGCAGGTAGCTCCTGGAGCAGTGCTTTAATTGCTGGCAGGGAAGAGCGAGAAGGCACTGGAGCAGAGGATCCCGCTGAGGGAGGCTCGTCGACCTCCGTGTTGTCCAGGAGGGAAGAAGGGCAATGGCAGCCAGCCTCGTCATAGTCCTCATAGTCGATGTCATCGTCCAGTCGGTTGGAGCCAGCCGGCTCCTGGCCGACATTGAAGAACTGCAAGGCCTTGTCCAGCGAGTACGTGTCAGCCACCGGAAATTCCTTGTCGGCGGCGGGGGTGAAGTACTCAACCCGGCGGATCTTTTCACCCATGGGCAGAGCGGCACTAAATGGGCACGAGGCCTGGGGGGTCAAGGCCAGGCCAGCGTGATGAGCCCCAAGACAGACCTCACATTTGGCGTGCAGGTCGCAGCTGGAGATGCAGCCCGTCTGGCAGGCCGGGCAGGTCCTGATGTCGCTGGACATGGTCGGTGAGTAGAAAAAGCTCTTGGATATTTGCTCTTTAATGAAAGCTCTTAAGCTTGGCTTGAAGAGATAATGGAGGCGAACAGTGGAATCGCTCCACTTATGTACCCACAGGGGTGCCCACCATTGGTGGGTGTACATTTAAGCTCTTCATGATTGGCTGATGCTGAGATCACCTTTCCAATAGCAGCTAGCTTAAGGGCTAAGACTAGACAAAACAGAACCTGATTGGTTAGGTAGATTACAGACTTGTCTTTCATTACTTTCATTACTCTCAGGAAGTCCACAGAATGTAGTTAAAAGTCTTCTGCTTGTCCAAAATGCTGCAGCTAGAGTTCTGATGAGAATTAAAAAGAGAGATCATCTCTCTCCTGTCTTAGCTTCCCTACATTGGCTAGCTGTTAAATTCAGAATAGATTTTAAGATCCTCCTTCTCACATATAAAGCTCTTATTAATCAAGCTCCATCATACATCAGTGACCTGATTGTTCCATATGTTCCTAACAGAGCACTTCGCTCTCAGACTGCGGGTTTAACGGTGGTTCCCAGAATATCTAAAAATAGGATGGGGGCAGACCTTTTAGTTATCAGGCTCTTCTCTTGTGGAACCAGCTCCCAGCTTTAGTCCGTGCCTACTTTTAAGACTAGGCCTAAAACATTTTTATTTGATAGGGCCTATGGTTAAAATCTGATGTTAGCCCAGATCTGGACAAGTGGGGGAGTAGAGGGAGGTGGAGAACACAGTCAGTAAAGACGGCTCTCCCTTGCCCTTCCTCCAACATGCCTCCATCTAAAAGGCTAGGTTATCCAGAATTATCTCTGACTGCTGGAGGACATAGTGACCACTTTCCACACTCAGGTACTTTCTTCTACAACTTGCTCTTTAACTGTATTGTTTCCTGCTATTTCAGTGGTTAACTCTATTTTTTCCTCTAAGTGTTTTTCTACAAGAAGAAGCTACAATGATGTTCTGCTGAGCTGTGGTGGCCTCATGGTGGGGGCCATCAGCTTGAACACTGCTGCTAACCACTTAAACATTCTCCCTTTCCTGACATTTTACTTTCTTTGACATTGAATGTGCTACTACTAGTTTACCCATGTAATTATAGATTCAAAAGGATAAATACAATAAAGTTTATCTCTCACCAAATAGAATATTTACTAACAAATCACAATGTAACCATAGAAACACTACATGGTATATCTGTTGTGTGTGTGTGTGTGTGTGTGTGTGTGTGTGTGTGTGTGTGTGTGTGTGTGTGTGTGTGTGTGTGTGTGTCTGCTCTGCCTTTTCCATCCCCAGTGAGTTATGGCAGATGGCTGCTTATACTGAGCCAGGATCCTCAGAGTAAAAAAAAAGTTAGTTTTCCTCTCCACTGTTGCTAAATGCTTGCTTACTATGATGATTGCTGTAAAGACTCTGACACTAGTCAGTGACTTGATGCAATTTGCTGGGTTCCTTATATAGGAAACTTTTTTTTGATTGGCTTAATGAACTGACCTGTATTGGAATGTTTACTGTGTGAATGCCTTTGAGATGACTCTTGTCATGATTTGGCGCTTTATAAATAAACTTGAATCGAATTGAATTGTGTGGCTGTGTGTAGGTGCGTGTGTGTGAGTGTAGGCATCTGTGTGTAGGTGTGTGTGTGCGTGCTTGTGTGTGTTACCTTGCTCCATATAGAACAGGATGAGTCGGGCGAGGGTGACCTTCATGATGGTTTCCCCGTGGCCCGTAGTGGACACAGCTCCAGAATGATTGTCGGCGTAACCTCCGCTGCCTGACAAACAGAACCCGATTGTCTGAATGTGTTCCAGAGATGATTGGTGATGATCTGTTCCGGATAAACTCCTATCCTACACGGGAACCCTAACCACCTTTATTTATGTTACTCTTTGGTCTATTGAAGTGTGATGGTGAAATTACAAAGAACACTGTTGAGCGTCCCTCTGATTACCAACACCAGGTGATCAGGTTTTGTTTGTGAGTGAGGGAAGGGGGGTTAGGGTCAGACAGATAGATGGGGGCTGAACTGGGCTGACATGGTGCCGTTCCAACCCTCACCTCTCAGTTGTGGGTAACGACCGACGGAACAAGATCATGAGCACAAGTGACAGAAATCTACATTTAATTTTTTAAACCCCTCCACGGGTCTCCGGAGCCGAGCGCGGACCTCCCTGTCCCGGTACCGACCGATGTGGGCTACAGAAATCCGTCTGGTGGCATCAGCTGGCATAGGCCAGATAATGCCCGCACTGCCCGCTCACCACAGCCATTGAATACACCTCATCAACACACAACACTATATTGGAGCAGGCGGAGGGAGACTAGGGGTCTTAGCACACCTCTGTTGTTGCTTGGCTTCCTGGGGCTGGAGACTAGGAGGGAGATCTGGCCATCTGGTTGGGGTCTGGGGTTGTGGGTCGCTTTGCTCAGTGTTGGGCGGGGGGGGCTGCTCATCAGCACCCGAGCAGAAAGGGTTAAACTCTGGTAACTGGTGATGGTTGTACCCAATGTGCAGCAGTACCGGGACCAGAGTGAATAGGGTGTGTATGGGGAGCATGAGTGGGTGTCCGGCGTGCATTTTTGTAAGTCTTTGGTTGTATGTGCATGTGTGAGCATGAGGGAGGGAGTGTGTGACTGTGTCTGTGTATGACTGTATATGTCAGGTGGGGCCTTTGACTCCTCTCTTCTCCCGGGGCTTCTTTCGATGATATAGAACTTCGTCTCCCCTCCCCCTGCCACACCTGGTGTAGGGGTGTGGTGCCTTGGTCTGCCTGAGTGTTCGTGGCTCCCGGGTCAGGGGGTTTAAGATCTTTGGCGCCTGCCTGGTCGATCCCGGTGGCTGCCTGGTGGGGTCTGGGTCCCTGGGCTCTGCTGGGTCCCCGGCGGGGGTGGTCGCCCCTGGGTCCCGAGTTGCTGGGTCCCGGGCTCGGCCGGCTAGGAGGTGGGAGGCTGCGGGCGGGCCTGTGGGCTTGCCGCTGGTGTCTCCAGGGACTCTGCCGGCTGCTGGTTGTAGCCCCCTGGGGCGATCCTCTGTGCCTCTCGAGGGGGGCGGGGGGCTTTTCTGATTGCAGTCTCCTTGGGGTTCCTGTGTTCTGGGGCAGCGCCTGGATCTCTGGGACTTGGAGCTCCCCCCCATCTCCTACCCATCTTTGGGGGGCAGATCTGTGGTCCCTCACACTCTCTATTGGATGCTCCTATAGAGAAACCTTACATAAACAAGCGTGTGTACAAACACAGGTGCTCACATGGTGCTCTCAAAAGTATGGGCATGGGGACGTTCAACACATGTCTTAAGGCTGTCGTTGCCACTACATGCACTATGATTTATTATCATGTGATTGTTCAGTTAAACAATGTTGATTTTATATTTCATCATCAGGTTAATGCAGTGATAGCTTGCTCCTGATGTACTGTGTGTCCCATTTTTTTCTCTTCCTGCAGGTCTAGAAGCAGACTCTTGTTAATTATTGTTTATTTTTGTGGACCCCCCCCCCCCCCCCCACCTTTTGTCTTTTCCTTTCTCTTTCACCTCTGACTCCATGTCTTGTCAGAATTACAAAGCATTCAGAAACAATAACAATAAAGTTTTAAGTATCGGGCGTGACATTAAAAGCAGACGCTTTGATGCTCCACCTGAGAGTAAATCTGTAAGGCTTGTTACCAGCATTCAGACATCAATTCTGTTTGCTTCACAGCCAGACAGGACATGGTAAAATAAATAAATAAATAAGAAATCCGTCTTTTGAACTGCACAAAACGTCCTCAGGCATAGAGATAGGGGCGTTGTTTATCTTATCTGGAAACCCGTGGACTCGATGTCCAGACAGGCTGGAGTTGGTACAGCCTTCACACTATAGTTTATCAACATGAACACAATCCAACACTAGCAAACACACACACACTGACTGGATAACATGACCTCTCTACCCTAAGATCACCCACTCTCCACACTGAGCTGAGGCAGCGCCTAGCTTCTAAAGCCTGGTTTATGCTTCTCCATCAGCTCAGCAAGGGACAGACACGCACGGATTGACGGAAGCGTTTTGCTCTTTTACTCCGTCTCCTGGAGAGTGTTGCAAAGCAATTGCCCGGCAGGACAACAGAGGGCGTAGCGCTGTTCTGTGGTATCCTGTCATGTATCGGTCCAAGATAGTGTGTTTATATTGTGTTTTTTGTGAATACCGTAAATCCTCTAATACAGGCCGGTATTCAATTAAAGGCCGGGTCTCCAATTTTGGCCTGTATCGGAGTCGGCGGAGGTGAATAATGGCCGGGTGGATTGTGGTAACAAGCAAGTATGGGGGCGATCGTTCATGTCAGTTCATTTCCTTTGATGTTTTCTGTCTTTTATTTGCGCCTGATGCGTTATGCTGTGGAGCATCAACTTGTCATCCGGTGACGCACCGATCACTGATGCGGCCGGCAAGCAGCGAGCACTCCGCTGTTTTTGCGGTCGGTAGATCTTTTAGAACTGCAGTTCAAAGGTAACTCATAAGGTGAATATATATGAACCCAGGTAGCAGTTTCTCTTTAGGATTGAGAGGAGATGCAGGAAGATAATAAACAGACAGGACAGATAAATAGTCAAATAAAAACAAGTTAGTTTTTGTACCTGGTGGTCGCAACAAACAGACACCATTGAAGGTAATCAGAAGTGAGGAACAGAAAATGAAATAATTATTTTAATGTTTAGAGCAGCAGGAACTCTGAGAGGCTGCAGGCGCATCAGTGAGTTTGCAGCCGCTGCGCAGGTGGAGGGGGGAGAGGGCTGAAGCAGAAACTACCGTTGTTAAAAGAAATGTGTTTAACTTTGAAAATGTGGGCGCAATATTAATTGTCAAAAACTCCAGCGAACCATTTGTTCATTTTGCTCAAATAGAAATTGAGGCCTGCCTCTAATACTGGCCCCCCTTCCAATAAAGGCCTGGAGCTTGATGACCTTGAGTCAAATACAGGCCCGGGCCTGTATTAGAGGATTTACGGTATAAGAGACTTTTAACACGGACATATTTGTCTCTCATTCTCCCACCGCTTCATGCGCTCCCCACCTCTAAACCCACGTTTCCTGTCATTTCCGTCCACAAATAAAATGCTTGCTGTGCATCTTTTCACTCCTCCAGTCACGGGAGAATTAAACGTTCATATTTTTAGAGTTTCTTCGCGAGATATTCTTCAAGCTTCTCCGTGTCTGCCGCTAGTTATCCTCGGCTCTCTTTGCAATGGCGGCACTGTAAACAACAGCGGCGTCCTGACCAATCACAAGCTTGCGTAATCCGTCTCGTTCGGCGGATGTTTAAAAAACTGGGCTTGACTCCGTACGTACTTGCGCGCCCTACGCAAGGATGGACAATGACGTTGCGTGTCTCCGCACTGACGCAGACGGAGAAGCATAAATCAGGCTTTACTCCCTCTGGTTACGTCAGAGGTGTTTACCCTCCTCATTAGAAAAAGTGTGAATGTTAAAGCACCCACATTCCCCACGGGTGGGGGACCGTTTCGCTGCGGTGTGTGTGTGTGGGGGGGGGTTACATTCACGGACTGTTTCACTGCCACGAGAGCGAGGAAGGGGGTAATGGTGCGCGGAACGTTTCGGTGCCATGAAAGCGGGGGTGAATTTCAAGCATGGCGCAGCACCTGAGCCTATGTCGGGAAAACACCAGGCAAATTGATGGCATTGTTTTGTAAAAATTACTTATTTCTAACCCAGAATCTGTATTTTGTTTAAGTAAAATAAAAATCTGATAATTGCTCAAATCAAACACCCACACCTTTCCCGCGATTTAGCTCAAAGACTTTTCTATCAGTCCGGTCCCTCTGTGTTTCTCTCGCTGTGTATGCCCTCTCCTTTCTAAGTGAAACCCGCACCTCTGCGCTCCGGTGTTACATCAGTATTCCAGTCGGTTCTGTGGTTGAAACGCTTTCTCCACCGCTCCACACCGCCCAAGCGATAAAAACACACATGCTCATTACAAGCTCGCTCCTGCGGTGCGCTCTGGTTTTGGTTTAATATGAGCCATAGATCTAAGAAGAGCTTATTCATGAAAATTTTGTAGAATCTGGTCGCTCAAATGAGCTCCAACAGAGCCAGCTCTGGTGTCACAGTAGCCACGTTTACATGCACACATTTAATCGGACTGAAAGCCCAATCAGATCAAAAATTCTGCATGTAAACATGTCAATCGGAATGTTCTGATCTGATTCGGCCCGATCAGAATGAAATTTCAATCCGATTGAGAGAAGCGGTTTTGTCCGATCATCATTCCGATTGACATGCATGTACACAGCATTGTTAGAGTAAAATAATCCCCGCTGCACATGTGCGCAACAGCTGGCGAGCCTCCCCACCATCATTTAGACTACCTGACTTTAAAAATGACGGCCTAATTAACGCATTTAAATATGATGGCAAGCCGTCCTCGTTTCAGTAATATCTAATCCAGAACTTGCATTTTGTGGAAGTAAAATAAAAACCTGATTATTACACAAATCATTCAACAAACGTGTTCAACTCTGTACTGGAAACAGGCAGATTCATTTCGGGTTTGCAGCACAGATCCTCGTTTCTGTGAACGCAGCAGCTGTTTCTGCAGCAGGTGGATGGAGACGTGCTCGTAAAGAAGACAGGGTAACATCGGTTAATCAGACCTGGTTTGAGTTTAAGGAGACTGATGTTGAGTAGAAAAACATCCTCAGTTAAATAATCTTTGTAAAAACACGTTAACGTAGATGAGATGAGGTGTGGTTTGTTAATGAACACATGATGAGCACCGACTT